CACACAGAGCCCGACGCGGGGCTCGAACTCACAGACTGTGAGATCGTGACCTGAGTAGAAGTCGGACGCTTAACCGACTGAACCACCCAGGTGCCTCAATTATTTATCTTTACTATCTCTAAAGAATACTCATCTAGATTGGGTACAGTGGACTTACACGGGGAACATTGTGAAAATATACGTGTGCAAGACCTTCCCTCCCCAACCACCCGCCCCACCATTCTGGCAAACCCTACGTGGGGGCAACGTATGCATTTTGTAGGGGCTCCCAGGACTTTCTGATCCTCCCTCCTCCCTGACTTACCCCCAGTTAAGATCCACTGAGCGTTAGTTTGCTATTACACTCAATTACTAGAAAGAAATATATTTGGGTCACATATCTTAATTCCCTGCTGACATACCTTAATGGAATTAATATTTAACAATACACACTTGACTTAGATCAGAAATGCCTTACAGAGGTTATCTACTTGAATTTTACATCGTTACGCCTTCTGGAAAATCAGTTTCAATCATCTGATACATTACCCAGCATCCATCACAGAAACCCTTCCCCAAATTGCCTGTCTGACAAAAGATGGTCCCTCCCAGCAGAACATGTCTGTCTTTCTAACAGACAATGACGACATCATGCAAAGCATTTGCCCTGGTACCTTAGCTGCTAGAAAACAAGCCTTTTTTTTTTTTTTTTTTTTTTTTTTTTTTTTTTAGCAGTAACTGTATACACTGGCAAGGATCCTTAGAAATGGCTTATAAGGCAGGGCTGTTCAGTAGAACTTTCTATGGTAACAGAAATGTTCTTTGTCCACATTGTCCAGTTCAGTAGCCACTAGGGACATGTGGCTACTGAGTGCTTTTAATATGACTGGTGTGGTTGCAGAATGAATTTTCAATTTTAAGTAGCCACATGTGGCTAGTGGCAATATTCAACAGCATCGTTGCAGGGCCACTTTTAAAATTTAAACTTGGGGCGCCTGGGTGGCTCAGTCAGTTAAGTGTCCAACTTCAGCTCAGGTTGTGATCTTGAGGTTTTTGAGTTCGAGCCCTGGGTAGGGCTCTATGCTGACAGCTCAGAGCCTGGAGACTGCTTCAGATTCTGTGTCTCCCTCTCTCTGCCCCTCCCACATTCTCTTTTTCTCTCTCTCAAAAATAAACAAACATGAAAAAAATTTAAACTTATAGTTAATACTTACACATGGTAAGACAAAAGAAAAGTATTATAGTAGTTTCAACTTCGGAGCCAATGTTAGGTTTACATTTTAAGAGTGTCATTGACTTTCAGTAATATTACAATTGACCCTTGAACAGCAGAGTTAGGGGGGGCAGAATTTCCACACACTCAAAAATCCTTCACCAACTTCTGACTCTCCCAAAACTTTACTGGTCAACAGAAGCCATATACAGATAACATACACAGTCGATGAACACGTATTTTATGTTATCTATGTTACAGATAGATAAAGCAAGTAGCTTTATAGATCTATCGATTGCTCAATAAATAAAATAAGCTAAAGAGAAGAAAATGCTCCTAAGACAGTCATAAGAGAAAATACATTCACAGCACTGTCCTGTGTTTACTGACAACATCCACGTATAAGTGGCCCCGTGCTGTTCAAAGGTGAGCTGTATTTGAATAGCCTTCTGCACATTGGGGGCTGACTGGAAACCTGGCTGCTTGCAGCAGAAAGGAGAAGGGCTCAGGTCATCTGTGGAACAGCGAGACTTAACTGGACATGCCCTCTGTCCCATGCTGTCACAGTTAAAATGCTGGGACCTGACGACAGAACTGATGACCATCCTCTGAAACGGGGCCACCAAGCCCCGCCTGGATGGCATGGCCCATACCCTTTCTTCACCCCTCAGCTACGGACCCTCCCCTGTTCCAAGCCCACTGGGGAAAGGGAAGGCAGGGGGTGGCTTTAAGGCTCGCTTTGTTAATTTGCACCTGCAGAGTGCTCTTAAGGAAGAGCCCATTGGGTTTGCAGGGTGTCTCAGTCTTGGCACTAGTAACATTGTGGTTCTATGCTGTTGGAGGGTGTCCTGTGCATTGGAAGAGATTTAGCAGCATCACTGGTCTCCACTCATTACATGCCAGTAGCATTCCCCACCCATCTCAGTAGGGCCAACCAAATATTTCTCTGGACACTGTCACATATCCCCTAGGGAGCAAATTATCCCCAGTTGGGAACCTCTTAGACAGTAAGTTCTTGGACTACTTAATAGGCCACTTAATAAAGGAAACCGATCCTAGATTTTTGTTTCATTTTTTTTTAATCTCTAGTGTCCAGGGGCGCCCGGGTGGCTCAGTCGGTTAAGCGTCTGACTTCAGCTCAGGTCATGATCTTGCAGTCTGTGAGTTCGAGCCCCACATTGGGCTCTGTGCTGACAGCTCAGAGCCTGGAGCCTGCTTTGAATTCCATGTCTCCCTCTCTCTCTGCCCCTCCCCTGCTTATGTTCTGTCTCTCTCTCTCTCTCTCAAAAATAAACATTAAAAAAATTTAAATCTATAGTTACTGTTACTCAATACACACTGAAGCATCATTTAGAGGAAAGAATAGAAGGTCACTATCAGTTTTTTTAGGAGCACCTGGGTGGCTCAGTCCATTGAGCATCTGACGCTTGATTTCAGTTCAGGTCATGATCTTACAGTTCATGAGTTTGAGTCCCACCTTGAGGTCTGTGCTGGCAGTGTGGAGGCTGCTTGGGATATTTTCTCTCTCTCTGTCTCTCTCTCTCTCTCTCTCTCTTTCTGCCCCTCCCCTGCTTGTGTGCTATTTCTCTCAGAAATAAAAAAATTTTTAAAGGCCACTATTATAATTTTTTTTTAACTTTTTACAAGTCTCCCTCAGTGCCTAGCATAGTGTAAGAATCAATAATTATTTTCCGGTTGGTTAATATTTCTACAGGTTTTTAAAAAAAGAAGAAATGTCTACTAACAACTATTTCTGAGCAAGAAAAATGATGGGGAAAATAAATCTTTTTTATCCCTTTATGTACGTGAAGCAATTTCCTGGCCTGTTGTGGTTTTAAGCAAACAGTGCAAGTCTGAAAATACAGTCTCGCCACTTTTGATTAGCACCATGATTGTGCGTGAGGACGGGATGCCTCTCAAGCTCCGTCTCTTCCAACAGAGGTTGGTCTAGGTGCTGGGTCAGGAGGATCCCTTCCTTACCGACTGGGGGAGCCAATTATCTCCAGCACCAGATGAGACCCCCCCAAGAACCTTTGCTGCCAGGTTCCCTGCAAAGAAAATCAGACAGGTGGCTTCAGTTCACAGTCCCTGAGCCCTTAAGCCGCACTCCCCAGCAAGTGACTCTTTTATCGTACAGGTCACAACCAAACCCTGGAGAATAGGCCTGCTATCTCATGAAAGCCAAACCCGTGGCACCTAAAACTTCGGGGACAGCTTCCCACCATGTACACATGGTGCAGCCCAGCAGAAGGACATGGAAGGCATTCCCACCGTGCCCACGTTTAAATGGACAATCCGTTTGGTACAGTCTGTCCTTCACCACTTTCCTAAACTGTTTACGGTACTTAAAGCTTCTTGGACAAGATTTTTCATTTAAGGAAAAGTATCACTTTCCAAGTTCCAGAACACTGGCTGTCTGCTTGAAGCTCTGCTCTATTCAAACAACCAGAATCATTAAGGCTATTTACCAAGCACAAGGTCAGAGCATTTATTACAATTAGACAAGACAGGAGAAGGGAAATTCCATCCCTTCCTTTAGAGTACTTTGCTGGAGACATACTGGAATCACCTGGGCAGCTCTTTAAAGTTTTGAGGGTTGGGCCACACACTAGATGGAATCAGAATCTCAGGGTAGTACAAGGCATTAGCCAATTCTTTTCAATAAACGTTTGACTTTAGAACAGCTTTAGGGTTATGGAAAAAATTGCAAAGAGACTACAGACATTTGCCATATACCTTCTAGCCATTTCCCCCTATTATTAACATTTTATAGGAGTCTGGTACATGTGTTACAATTGCTGAGCTAATACTGATGCATTTTTATTAACTGAAGCCCGTACTTTTTTCACATTTCTGTAGTTTTTCCCTAGTTTGCTTTCTGTATCCCAGGATTCCATCTAGGATGCCACATTACATGTAGTTGTCATAGTTCCTGAGGTTCTTCTGGGCTGCAAGAGTTTCACAGACTTGCCTTGTTTTTAATGACACTGATAGTTTTAAGTACTGGCCAGATATTTTGCAGAATGTCCCTCAGTGGGGATTGGTCTGATGTTTTTCTCATGATCAGACTGGGGTTATGTGCTTTTGAGAAGAACACCAGTGAGATGAAACCATTCTCATCGCACCAGATCAAGGGCACGTATGTTGACCTGCCTTGTCACTAGCAACGTTGACCCTAATCTTTTGGCTGAGCTAGTGTTTGTCAGGCTTCTCCAGGACAAAGTTAGTCTTTTGTCCCTTTTTTCTTACTGTACTCTTCTGAAGGAAGTCACCATGTGCAACCCACACTTCAGGGTTATATTCCAGCTCCTTGAGGGCTTAGGATTTACAAGAAATTTTTAGAGTTCTTTGATAGAGGAAATTTGTCTATTTTCTTCCATTTATTTATATTATAGAGATTCATTTATTTTCTACTTTGGATTTCAATCCAATACTACTGTAATTATTTTGCTGCTCCAGTGTTCCAGCTTTGGCCATCGGGAATTCTTTCATTGGTCCTGTATCCCTTTGTGGTAGTGGTGGTGTTTTTCTGAGCACTTTCTTACTTTTGGCCACTATATGATGCTCTGTGTTCATCTTATTTATTTCCTACCCTAGTCCTAGAATCAGCCATTTATCTAAGTCCTGGTTCCTTTTGTTGAAGAATGGTATTAGAGGGGCACCTGGGTGGCGCAGTCGGTTAAGCGTCCGACTTCAGCCAGGTCACGATCTCGCGGTCTGGGAGTTCAAGCCCCGCGTCAGGCTCTGGGCTGATGGCTCAGAGCCTGGAGCCTGTTTCCGATTCTGTGTCTCCTCTCTCTCTGCCCCTCCCCCGTTCATGCTCTGTCTCTCTCTGTCCCAAAAATAAATAAACGTTGAAAAAAAAAATTAAAAAAAAAAAAAAAAAAAGAAGAATGGTATTAGAAGCCACGATCTGTATGCTGGGTGTGCTCACTGCTACAGAGATGTCATCGTTCCTAAACTCTTTCCATTGACAAAACGAGGAAATTATGTGTGTGCATAATAACCGATGCATATATACTTACCTGTAAGTACTTCTGTATGGAACTGTCTTCCTCTACATTAAGCTAATATGAGTCCATATTGATGTCTCCAACTCTAATCCAATTATCACAGGGATGTTTCCACTCTTCCTCTTGCTTTTCTGTAATTTCCTACTCCACACTGAGAAACTTGGCTCCCATCATTGTCTGTTTACTTCACTGATGAATTTCAGTATGTAGTGGTATCAGAACTGTTAACCTGGACCCTCATGGGAAGTTTATCAGCTACAGTACAGACTTATGGACAGTTCCTTCTGCCTTTAGTATTAGACTCCATCCATTCATTTCCAAGGTTACTTAGGTCAGCACCTCTTCTCCTCTGTATCTTCAGTGAGGCTGTTCAATGTATTTGTAATACACTGTTCCGTCACAATTCTGCACTTCATCCCGGGATCCTGATCTACTAAATAACTTTTTCAAATTTGCATAAAATTTCCTCTTTGTCCTATAAAGTCCTATGGGTTTTGACAAATGCATAGTATCATATATCCACCATTACAGCTATCATACAGAATAGTCCCACTGTCTTAAATAGTTTTCTGTGCTTCACTTATTCAACCCTTTCCTCTTCCCCTAAAAAATCCTCTGGAAACCACTGATCTTTCTATCATTTCTATAGTTTTGCCTCTTCCAGAATGTCATAGAATTTGAATCATATAATATGGAGCCTTTTCACTGGCTTCCTTCACTTAGCAAGTTGCATTTAAGATTCATTCATGTCTTTTTTTGTGGTGTGATAGTTCATTGCTTTTATTATTTTAATAATATTCCATTGTATAGATGTACCCATTCACCTACTGAGGGACCTCTTGGTTGCTTCTAGCTTGGGAAATTATAAATACAGTGGCTATAAACATTCCCATGAATGTTTTTTTGTACGGACATAAATTTTCTTTTTTTTTTTACACTTATTTTTGAGAGAGAGAGAGAGAGAGAGAGAATGAGCAGGGGAGGGGCAGAGAGAGGAGACACAGAATCTGAAGCAGTCTCCAGGCTTGAGCTGTCAGCACAGAACCTGATGCAGGGCTCGAACTCATGGACCACGAGATCATGACCTGAGCCGAAGTCGGACGCTAAACTGACTAAGCCACTGAGGCATCCCCAGGTATAAATTTTCAAAATGGTAACTTAAGTTTTCAAATCAGTAAATAGTGGTAATTCAATCACTAAATGATAAAGACTACACCTATCTCTGTAAGAAAGTGCCAAACTATCTCCCAAAGCGTCTATACTATCTTGCACTCCCACCAGCAGTGAATGAGACTTCTTTCTTGTTCCATATCCTTATCAGCAATTGATGCCAGGTTTTAAATTTCAGGCATTATAATATATGTGTAGTGTTATCTCATTATTGTTGTAATTTGTAATCCCCTAATGACAAACGATGTTGAATATTTTCTCACATGACCATTTTTCCATCTGTTTCTCTTCTTTGGTGAAGCATCTGTTCGGCTCTTTTGACCATTTAAAAATTTGATTGTTTTCTTCCTGTCACGTTTTAAGGGTCATTTGAATAGTTTGGATAGAGGACCTTTATGAGGTATGTGTTTGGAAATATTTCCTCCCAGTCTGTGGCGTGTCCTTAGCTTTTCTTTTACAGTGCATTCACAGTTTTTAATTTTAATGAAGTCCACTTTCTCAATTTTTCTTTAACAAATCATGCTTTGCATCATATACTTACAAATTCATCATCAAACTCAAGGTCACATAGCCTTTCTCCTGCGTTTTATTCTATCAGTTTGAAAGTTCTGTATATTACATTTAGATCTATGATCCATTTTGAGTTTATTTTTATAAAAGTGTAACATCTGGGACAAGGTTCACTTTTTTAAATTTTATGTTACATGGACGTCCAGTTTTTCTAGTGCCATTTGTTGAAAAGTTCATCTTTAATCCATTCCATCGCCTTTGCTCCTTTGTCAAAGTCACTTGATTCTATCTGTGTGGGTCTATTTTGTGGTTTTCTATTCTGTTCCACTGATATATGTGTCTCTTGTTTCACCAATGAACACAGTCTTGATTACTGAAAGTTTACCATAAGTCTTGACATTGGGTAGTAGGAGTCTTCCAGTTTTGCTCTTTTTCAGTATTGTGTTGGGCATTGCTATTTTTTTTAAGCTTTCCAAATGAGTCCAATGTATAGCCAATGTAAGAATCACTGCTTTGGAGGCAGCTGGGAATAGAAGGAAGAATATGGATCTTAAGGGCTCCTGGGTGGCTCAGTTAAGCATCCAACTTCAGGTCATGATCTCGCGGTTCATGAGTTCAAGCCCCACGTCGGCCTCTGTGCTGACAGCTCAGAGCCTGGAGCCTGCTTTGGATTCTGTGTTTCCCTTGCTTTCTGCCCCTCCCTCACTTGTTCCCTCTCTCTCTCAAAAATAAATAAATATTTTTTAAAAATTAAAAAAACAAACAAAAGAACATGGATTTTCAAGTCAAGCAGCCCTTTGTTTAAATTCTTGGTGTTCAGGCAAGCCATCTGAAATGTTGGAGCTTCAGTTTCCTTTTCAGGAAATGGGGGATTAAAATGCTTACTGGCAGGGTTTTTTGTTTGTTTTTATAAAAGCAATACCTTGGACAACCCCAGCATAGGGATGAACAAGCAGCAATTCACTGGTCAAGATGATTTCCCTTTTCTTCACTTCCAATGCCTTCTTGACTGTTTTCTTAGTGTGCTCTTAGACCATTGCATTCCAAATATTAGGAAGGACTAGCATAGTTTATTATTATGAAATATCTCCCAATAGATATGTAACCATATAAGATGGGTTATAATCCAGTGTTGCTTCCCCCGGAAACCGGCAGCCTGAAGAAATAAGCCTGTTTGACAATCTTTTTTAGAAGGAAGTGATTCATGTTGAGCCCATGGGGAATTAATACTGGTCTATTTTTTAACGATTTGTTGAAGGGATAGGAATTTACTGCCTGCATGGAAACAATAATGAGAATAAGTAGCAAATGGCACAAACGATTAAAAAGAGAGAGAGGGTGAGGAAAGTGCCCTTTTTAAAAAATAAACAGGAAAATGACCAGGAAGGACATTTTGAAGCAACAATGGGATCTCTTTATGACTATACACCTTTGTACTTTTAATAATTGGGGCCATTGTTACAGAACACATTCCCCTAAGTGAGATTATTGGGTAAAAAATACAGTTTCAGATATTCGTATAAACGTCTTATTTTCCAAAAAACTCTTCCTTTATTCTAGAGTAAAAAATACTGTATGTAAGCAAGAAATCAAGCAAACAAACAAAAAATAAAAGTCAGGAAGGGTGATAAGAAGGAAACATAAAAGAACTCATTTACCATCTACATCTATGCTCCAAGCATGCTAAGAATTATACACGTTTAAACAAATTAATCCTCATGGCAAATTTAATACCATTCTCACTGCATAGATAAGAACCGACGTCTTAGAAAAGCTACTCCATGTGCCACAAAGCATACAGTTCACATGTCAGAGCCAGGAAGCCATCCAAGTATACCTGAAAACCAGGCACTCTGGCCCCATCTCAAAAACCATTATGCCATGATGCTCAAATTCTTTAATTTCTGAAAAGGAGAAAGAGTGTGAAAACATTTTTAACTTCCAAAAAAGATGCCCCAAATTACTAGATGTTTTATGAGCAGAATCCTAATTTGGACTAATTTTCTAATATAGCTATCCTAAGAAGTCTGGTAACTGGGCTCAAACGAAAGGATTCTTTCATTTCTTGCAGGACACAGACAGGCACATTTTTACAATGGCCTCCCCAAGACAGTAACCCTCCTCTGGCACCTCCCCAAGAGTCATTAGAGAATCCCGGAGCCCCCGGTACCTCCTCTCAAAAGATCTGCCAGCCCAGCAGAAGCAGTACTAATGAGACTCTGCCACCGTGTAGCAGATGCTGGTGATTCACAGGAAAGAGGGGCCATGTCTGGCTGTGACTCTCCTTCCTGCTGCAAACATTAAGCCGAACCAAATAAAACTGATGACAAAACTCAAAGAGAAAATGTCAGGGGTCAGAAGTGGCCACAGAAACCACCGTAGAACCCAATTAAAAGCTGGTATTTTCCGGCTTTGCTTGTGACAGGTGTTTTTGCCTGCCTGCATCCCTCCTTCCTTTCCCTGGGGTGATGAGACATACACCAGCAGAGTGGAAAACAGTGCCCCAAGAAAGGAACTGTTCTAGAACTCACAGTAGCAGGTGCACAGCAATTTAGGAGTAATTAAGATATTCTAAGAGAAAACAACCCTCTGTCATGTAAACTAGAAGGAGGTGGGGACATGGTAACTTCAGTTTCAGACACTTTATTTGTAAGGGAGACATATGGCTGTCGCCTTGCAGCCATGCGGGGAATCCCAAGCAGAGTGTCTAAAGATCACTCGTGTGGGGTCTGGTCCTCCACGTTCCAAGTCCAGAAACTACATTTTGTCTACTTATTCAGAGACTCAGGGGCTGCCACGCTCCCTGGCTTAGAAGATCCCAAAACACAAACCAGAATGTCAAGGTGTGCTGGGTGTTTTTCATTTCTAATATTTTTGTTTGGATTCTTCCATTTATAATAGACACATTTTTCTGTTAGTTATTGGGCTATTATCAGGGAGCCGTCCTGTGTCGGTTAGCGGTTGCTGTGGAGGAAGGATGCCCAAACTCAGAGGCTGAAAACCATCAGAATTTGGTTTTGCTCACATATCTAGGGTAGCAGGGCAGCTCAGCTGATCTCTCCTGGGCTCGCTCAGGGTCTCATGCTCACCTGGTGCTTGGGCCACAGGCTGGCTGATGTAACATGCGTCTAGCACAGTCTGGCGATCGGCCAGGACGGTGTGAGTAAATGAGTTTTGTTTCTCATCACTGAGCAAGTTGGCCTGGCCGTGTTTCCATGGTGGCTGTGCAATGCAATATTCAGCGAAATGTTAAGAGAGAGAGAGGGGGAGAAAGTACTTAAGGCCTCTTGAGAATCTAGGCTCAGAAGAGGCACATCACAGGGCACCGGGTTGGCTCAGCCGGTTGTGTCCGGCTCTTGGTTCCCTGGGTCTGGCTCTGTATTGACAGCATGGTGTCTTCTTGGGGTTCTCTCTCTCTACTCACGTGAGCACACGCGCTCTTTTTCTCAAAATAAATAAATAAACTTAAAAACAGCTGGCACGTCATGACTTCCACCACATTCTATCAGCCAAATCAAGTCGCAAGCCAGCCGATATTCGAGGGGTTAAGAAGTCTCTACCTATTGACAAGCTGAGTTGCCGGGTCACATACAAGCAATAATTACAGCTATTCTGGCATTAATCTTTCATGCCTCCCTCTGTGGGGCTCTCAAAAATTGAATTCATAAGCAGAGGTCACTTGATGAAAACAAACTGAAGGGCGCCTGGGGGGCTCAGTCGGTTAAGCGCCCAACTTCAGCTCAGGTCATGACCTTGCGGTTCTTGAGTTCGAGTCCCCATCGGGCTCTCTGCTGTCAGCACAGAGCCCACATCAGATCCTCTGTCCCCCTCTCACTGCCCCTCCCCTGCTTGCTCACGCTCCCTCTCTCTCAAAAAAATAAAATAAGCATTAACAAAAATCAAATATAATTGGATACGACTTAGGGGTTATTTCAACTAGGCTTCCAAACACTCTGATGAACTATCCTTGCTCCAAACCCAGAAGGTACCCAACACTAGACTGCCTCTCTCCCTCTCCTACCCACACCACCCCCCCACCACCCCATACCACCTCCTACACACCCTAAATGTCCATTTGGAGCTGTTCTCTCACAGTGCATTCTTTCTATAGATGCCTGCCACCAAACCCTTCCATTATGCATTGCCTTTTGCCGGTTTCACTCTTATGGTGGCATCTGTTTCCACGTAGTAGATTTACGTCTGGCAGCCTCTGCGGTAACTACTATGTCTGGTTTTTAGTTCATAATAATTTAATTGCTGCTGAAGCTGTTTCAGGAAGGGATAGAGGAAGACACTGTCTCTTCCTCTCCCGCCCCCTACTCAGGAGCAGAAAGGCAAGGGCACTTGCAAAATCTGGGAGGAGAGAGAACCCTTTTGTCTTCCGTCAGCTATCGCTGTAATAACCAGAAATTTATGGCTCTGTGGTTATTATCCAAGTGGGGGAGCCCAAACATCTGTGGGCCACACAGGTTTACTGCATTCACGGGAACATTTTCTGAAGTATCCTGGAAATGAAACCTAGTTCTTTTGCAGAAATTCAAGGAGCCCGAACTCTGTTAGAGTAAATTAGCGCTGAGATATTCAACATGGCTTCAAAATGCGTCTTTCTGTGGAGATGAAGTTTCTAGGTCGCTATTCCATTACACAATGCCCTCCTTATGAGAGCCCAAGGGAGAAATTTCTCTCTGCTCTCAGAATGGGAAACAGCTGGGCTGTTTAATACTTGGAGTGATTTTGTGGTGGCTGTTATTACAGATATTATGGATCATGTATGTGATGACCGTCTCTTTTTTGGGCAGTTTAACATCAAAGCAGAGACTCAGCTCTAGAAACTCTATAGGACCTTTTGGTAGGAATATTAGATATTAACCTCACACTTAACTTTGCTTTATCTTTCCTAGCTCTGTAGACTCTCTGTTTTGCCTTCCTCACTCAATTATTTTTGTTTATTTTGTCCTATTTAAGATACTTATTAAGCAGACTTAAATACTTTTTAGAGCCTAAGAGAATAAATAAGCAAACAAATAAATGCCAGTTTCTCAAGAAAGCTGTAACCTTTCTGAATACTTAAAAGAATTCTTCAATTTTATCTATCTTGACGGAACTCTTGTACAACTTTTCGATTTCAGATACTGTGGTCCGAGTTTATCGTACTTCTCAATGGTTCGTTATCATTTTTTAATCTAAGAAGAACCCTCTCAATGCCTTCCTTCCTTCCTTCCTTTTCTTCCCCTGACATTCTTCATGTGCCCCTGGGCAACCATTTCAATACTGCAACCCCTTTTGTTACTTTGTGTTCTTATAAAACATATGGTTTAAAAAAATTTTTTAAGTAAAAAATAAGTGAAAAAAATAAAAATAAAAAATAAAACATATGGTTTTACATGCATGAGTCTTAATGGCATGCAACTATTGTTGCTTTTCTTGTTATAAACCTGTTTCCTTTTTCATTCAGTACATCTCGTGTGCACTTCTCTCTAAAGAGCATGAACCCAGGACACTCTGCCATCCACTCCCCAAATTGCCTCCAACACCCACCCCCAAAAGTATGTCTTGAGGGCAATCCTCGTACCCAGAGTGAACACATTTGAGGGTGACAAGGGTGCTATGAGTAATTTCACCAGGACAGCAGGTGCGCCCTGTGATCGTCCTAGGGGAGCTGCAATGCCTCGTCACCTTATTCAGACAGGACCCTTAGGAACTCCGTGAGAATCCCTTCTTGATATGTACCAACAGTGGATTTGCTGAGTCAGGAGGTACTCATAGACCTCATCTGCTCTTACCACCAGAGTCCCACGCAGGATTTCTACACCAGTTTACATTCCCATCAGCAGTGCGTGAGGGCCCCCATGCTCCTGTATCCCTGCCAACACTGGCCTTATCCCGGTTTTGCCAGTCTGGCACATGTAAACAGATACCTCATTGTCAACTTACATCTTTCTGGCAACTAATGCGTTTGAGCATCTCTTCATATTCTTGTTAGCTTTTTGTACTTTTTCCTTTCTGTGAATTTTGATCTTGTACCTTGGCCCCTTTTCCATTGGGGTCTCTGTGTTACTGAGTTGCAGAAGATGATAAGTTTTCCAAAATGAGCACACATTTCTTTGTCTTCTTAAACTGTATGACCAGCATGATTATTCTTTCTTGCAGAACCAGGGTCACATGATGTTGAGCATATGTAATGCTGGGGTTATTAGACACTATGAAACAGAGTTAAACAGGTACCAACAGATTGCAATGGACCGAATGGTGCCCCACCCCCAACATTTCATATATCTAAGTCCTAAGCCCTGACGTGACTGTACTGGGAAATGCGGCCTTTAAGAAGATAATTAATGTTAAGTGAGATCCTAAGTGTGGGGCCCAAATTCACCAAGGCTTGTGTCCTCGTAACAAGAGACAGGTAGCAGGTGGCATGTACATAGAAAAATTTACTTTAGGTGGACTTCCAAGTCAGATACTGGGAAAACTATTCAACTCACTTAAACCGCTTACCTCTTTGGGCAATCGGAAGCATCAGAACTTGCTGTTTGATGCATGGAATGGCTTATAAAAATTAACCAGTTGCATTTCTAGGAAACTGTTCAGGATATGGACTGTTTTCAGCAATCAGGTATTTCTTCCTCTGAAAATATCAGGGATTCCTCTTTCTCGATTTTCTTTCTTTCTTTCTTTTTAATTCATTTTCCAAAGTGATGTCCTCCTCTGATATCACCAACTTCCCTAGAGGAAAATACATGCAGCTCAGACACCTGTGTTGTTCTTAAAAACGTTTTGTTTCTGCTATGTACAATGTGTAAGATACTGGAGGCTCTATGATTTTCCCAAATGGGAAGAATTTGTCCTAGGTCCTATGGAATGGTTTCAGGGACCCTGCTAATGATTCTACTGCTTAATTGCATATTATCTGCAACATACCTAATCCAAACACTGTGATCAGTTCCCACAAACATGCAGGCAACTAGCTGCAAGCTGCCACCATCAACTCCACTAGAAATTATTTACAATACCTGATGGAACACCATGTGGCTGCATTCTACAGACCTGGGCTTATCCCGCTGGACTATTCCCCCTGAGACTTCACCTCTCCAAGGTACCAAACCTTCTACAGAACTCTTTTGAAGTCCTAATGCATGTACTGTGTTCCATAGAAGTGAACAGAACATGGGCACCTGGGTGGCTCAGTCGGTTAAGCGTCCAACTTCAGCTCAGGTCATGATCTCATGGTTCATGAGATCGAGACCCACGTTGGGCTCTGTGCTGACAGCTCAGAGCCTGGAGCCTGCTTTGGATTCTGCGTCTCCCTCTGTCTCTGCCACTCCCCAACCTGTGCTCTGTCTCTAATAATACACATATACATATATATATGTAATACATATATATATAAATACATACATGTATTTAATATACATATATATATATGTATGTATTTAAAAAAAGTTAACAGAACTTGGCCCAACTTTTACTAAATGGTCCCCTCCTCCATGACCACCTTCATCATTCCCACTCTTCATTGGAGAGCTGACTTCTGGTCCTTTGGTGGGGGCAGAGAAGGTACACTCCCTGTATCTTCAGACACCCAAAGGACTGTTTATCTTTTCCCCATCATAGTATTGCTTTTTCCTTTTTATTTCTCTTTGCCAATGTATTTCTTTTTTACTATTACAATATTTGCTGCTTACAACCACTCTCCTTTCCCTGTCTGCCACTCCCATTTGTATATTTTTTACTTTCTCTTCTCTTTTCTATCTCCTTCTCCTGTTGCTTCTTTCATGCTCCCTGGCTTTGGCTGAGCAGAGCTTCCATTCATTCTCAGTTTGGCCCTATGGGGCATGTCTCCTTCTGTCCCTAAAATTGCCTGGAGAAGCTGTGTGCACACACACACATCTGCACACGTACGTGCGTTTTCCTGGAGCGAGGACTGTGGCAGACCCTATGGATTATCTACGCCCCCAACGATTCCCAATTCCCTATGCCCTTGACTTCCAGTGCCACACAGGCCGAGAGGCTGATAATTTTCAGTTTGCTACCTCTCCTTGGTTTGCCCAACGAGAAGGAAAATACCCTTTGTTGAATATAAAGCAAAGACTCACTAGGAGAACACCCTTTGCTCTTCATTCTTTCCTGTGATTCTTGCCTGGAATGTAGATTGTAAAGCACGGTCATAAGCAGCCAGCTGGAAAACATGAGGCTGTGAGCCTGAGAACGAAGGCCTGTACATGAGGCACAAGAGCAGAAAGTCGGAAGGAGCTTTAAGTCTCTGATGGTAACCTTGAGCCACCATCCCAGCTCTGGACAGTCCACCTCCAGACATATTCTTACATGTTTTGAAATACACACACACACACACACACACACACCATTTTAAAAAGAAGAGGTAAAAATATCAAGAGAAATTCTAAAATTTTCTTCCTGTTCCCAGATCGATTGCTTTGTAGATGCCCTAGAGGCAAGCATCCTATTTTGAAGACCTCTGTTGAATAACCAGGGCATTGCTATTAACAGAGATCAGCAAAAGTTAAACCAGCAATGATGTAGAAGTGGGGGCAGTGTGGGGGGGGGGGACACCTGAATGAGTAGAGTCTAAGATAGGGTGGTAGTGTTACAGGTCATTTGTGTTTTATATGTAAATGGATGGAAGGATGTACGTAGCTGATGGTGACAGCTTTCAACTATTTTGTGTTTGTAGCTCTCTACATCAGCCATGTATTAATTTGCATTAAGAAAAACAAAGAAAAGGAAATGTTATTTTAAATATCCCAGTAGTTCAGGGCGCCTGGGTGGCTCAGTCGGTTGAGCCACCGACTCTTGGCTTTGGTTCTGGTTATGATCTCACGGTTTGTGAGATGGAGCCACACATCAGGCTCTGTACTGACAGTGTGGAGCCTGCTGGGGATTCTCTCTCTCCCTCCCCCCTGTCTTCCCCCTCCCCTGCTTGGTGCACTCTTTCTTTCTCTCTCAAAATAAACAAACTTTTAAAATAAATAAATAAATATCCCAATGGTTCAATACAGGTACCTCCCTCCCAAAATGTCCTTTTTCCTTCCAGGTGGCCCTGTCATGGTGTGGAGTGTCTACCAATCCTGCAGAGATATTCTCCAGGGCCACTGCTTGCTGGTAAGGACAGCCGGGCAGGTGTGGTGGGGAGGACTAGAGAGGAGGGCTCACTGCAGGTGGCCACCAGCCTGCTCTGGGGGGAGGGGGGTGGAATGAAAAAAGGAACACCCAGCGGAGCATCACCCTTGCTGACGAGACCACCCTGCCCTGTATCAGTGGGGTTTTCCCCACATTTCATTCTACTTATTATAGACTTGTCCCAATTCCTAGTCTGTCACAGGATGATGGGCACTTAGCCCTGGAGCACCATCTAGCCTGCTCCTGCCTTTCCAGAGACTTAAAGAGCAAGTGCTGAAAGTTAAGGGTATGTCCAAGGTCCAAGAAGTCACATCGGCAGCAGAGTGGGGATGAGAACCCATTTGGTGGCTAACCAGCACCATCACTACCACCCTGCCTGCCTTGGGGAATCCTTCTTACAGGCTGGGCATTGCCCTGGGTGCCATCTACATCGTCTCTTAACCTTCTAAAAGCCCCACGAGGTTGATGTTGTCTTCTCCGTTTTACAGTTTAAGAAACTAAGGCTCAGACAGATCACGTGGATTTCCAAGGCTAGAACAGAGCAGAACCAGGAGTGGAACCCAGTTCTTTGTAGCCCTTTCTACCACTTCAGCTGACTCAAAACAGTGTTTGTGTGTGATCTCTTACACATGTGCCTACAAAGCAGTTTCCCAGAATTCCTCTAGAGGGGTCTTTAGCTATTGGGGTCTCAGGAAATTTGGGGTCTCAGGAAATTCATCTCAGGACCACCTCCCTCTCCCCTTCGGTGCAAAGAATGCTTCCTGAATGAGCCTCTTTGCTCGGCAGCTGGTGATGCTTGATTTGATTAACACCCGGGGACCCATCACCAGACGTAAAGATGATGTCTAATTAATTGCCTACATTAAAGAGCTGGCATTTCCTGCATTCGGTTCACACTTCCAGCTTCAATCATGTTTTCGTTTCAGCAATAATATTTACATGATTAGCAAATAGTCGATTCATACTCCAGTGTGGACCTAAGCTGTGTGTGGGACTTCCCTAAGCAGATGTCCTTGACAGGTGTAAAGAAATAGGCTTTTTATTCACAGCAAGAGCCACAAGCAAGCTCTTCTGCTTGTTTTTAAATAAAAAATCATGCTTGGATCAACAAATATTCATTGAGCACTGACCTATTCTGTGTCAGTCATCCCATTTCCAAGGCCCCGCAGGGGCCAAAAAGAAGCACACTCACTAAGAAGTCACATTACACTTAACTGTGTTTTCTTTCTTTCTGTTCCAAGATCTAGATGCATAAATTAGGGAAAGCCACTCTGCATCAGACATCTGAAGCTTCAACAGGCGTTTGCTGGCCTCTCCTGAGATCTTATCAGACAAGAAGCAGGGGAGTTTGAGATGTGAAATGACTCCCAGGATGTGAATGGGGATCAAACTGAAAAGAAATGATGCGTCACCAGGCTATCCTATGCAGTATCTTTAATCACAACATGGAAATGACACAGAAAAGCAAGATTCTATCTTCAGACAGCAGGAGATTAGAAGGGCTAAGGCAGCATTTTGGACGACGAAGTTCTTGACAAGGGGTCGAATTCTAACATCACGAAAGTGAGTAGGAACAGATGCCCCAGAACCACCAAAAGCAGTACCACCCAGGGAAGATGTGGCTTCATGGAAGAGGCTTGACTGCAGTCAGCTACGAGCTCAACAAAGGCAAGGGCGTGATGTGTGCCCTGAATCACTAATACGTCGATCTGACTGCATTTGATGAAGTATCTACACTTAGGATTGGGTGAGCCCTGCTCTAATTTTCCCTGGCCCTCCCACAATTATGCAGTGTATTCAACCTAAGGAGGTTGACCATACATCATATTGTTCTAATCAGGACACTGATTTAGAACGAAAGGGATTGCAGGTGTAAATTAAGCCTGGAAATTAGGCATCCGTGAAGAATCCTGGTCAAACTGGGGTCCATGTTACCTGGTGGTAGCTAACTGACTTCCAACAGAAGAGGCTTTCTGAGAGCCTATCTGGCCGTACCCATCAGTTTCTGGTTTACATGCCTATTTGTTTTTTGAAAAATTCCACGAAGATAGCAATACGTCCAGTGAAACCCAGCTTCTTTTCTTTGAAAGTGTTATTATTGTGTAAATATATGGTGGCGGCTCTCTTTTGAGAGAAAACTTATTTTATTCAAGTTTGCTACACAAGGATCTGTGTTTCCCTCGGCCCCCTCTGTAGTTATATGTTTTATATATGCTTTTTCAGGGGACTATTTAGAGGAGAATTCTATCCAGTATTCTCCCTCGTACAAACCAACACAAACACCCTATTACACTGAATGTAAGACACCAATGGTTATAAGATGTATCACTACTATCTGCCATTAAGGAAAAGAAAAGAAAACTCCTCCAATTCAACTATACTCCAAACTCCTTCACATCCAGCTCTCCTGGATCACCTTTCAACTCACAATTGGCATGTAGTTCCCATTTTCCATATGATATTTATGTCTGTGTCATCAAGAGCATCATGAATGCAGCATTTCTATAAAAAAAAAACTTTCCACTATTTTCTCCAGAATTTTCTTCCAAACAAGTAACACTTGATCTGAAGGTTTGATGTTACTTTTTTTTTTTTTTTTTTATCTAACCAGCAAATGACAACAGTAGGTTTTCACACAACAACCAGGATTTTATTCTTTCTTCAGATAGTACTTAAATTGTTTGCTGACTGAAATTCTGAGGGACACTGTCCCATTCTGCCACCATGGAGAACAACCAAATCTGTTCTGCATGGACAATGACAACGATATCCCAAATGGCACTGGGCCAACAGATGCCTGGGATTTTACAATGTGAAGTCTGGATGTTATGGAATAAAATACAGTAACTCAGTCTGCCTGTGCCCTTCTGTCCCATGTTATACCCTTTCCCTGATCATCCCCAGTCTGCTTTCCCAGCTGGCTGTGATAACCTCTCTTCTTCTTTATGCTAGCTAAGATTCTCCTCAAGAGCTCTCCTGAGTTTATGCCCAACCTTTACACCCAAACTTTTTACTCTGGAACTCTTCCTAATCTTTTCATTTCAGCTAGCTTTCTGTTTTATGCCCATCAACTGATGCAAGACAAAGCAAAAATGGAAAGGTCAACCAAGATTTTCCATCTCAAAAAAACACCTGCTTCATCTTTTTTTTTAACGCTTATTTATATTTGATAGAGAGAGAGAGAGGCAGAGCTTAAATCAGGGAGGGGAAGAGAGAAAGGGAGATGCAAAATTCGAAACAGCTCCAGGCTCTGAGCTGTCAGCACAGAGCCCAACATGGGGCTCGAACCCACGAACAACGAGATCAAGACCTGAGCCAAAGTCGGATGCTCAACGGACTGAGCCCCCCAGGCACCCCTGCCTCATCTCTGTATTCATGAAGAAAAGCCACAGCTTGAGAGTAGAGAGGTAGTTCTTAGTTCTGGCTGTGAAGTAAAATAATTTGTAACAATTTTTTAAGAGTAGATTCCAGTGGGCTATCCCAAGACCCACTGACTCAGACTCGAAGGGTTGGGAGCAGAATTGGGGGAAAGAAGGCACTTGTATTTAAAAAGAGTTCCACAGATTGATGTGATATGTCATGTAGGTTGTGAACCATTAGGAGGAGGAGAACATTAGGCACTTTTCAGTTTATGCAGGGACAAGTCTACTGACATCCACCAACACAAACGTGCAGTCAAGAAGACCCAACTCTAAGTGTGCAGGAGAAAACAATTTCTATGGATGGACCCCAATTCTATTCAAAGCATAATATTCACAGCATCCTGTACTCAACATGATTAAACCAAGGGATAGGAAGGATACTGCAAATGACTCGGCATGGGATGGACACGTCACAGTAAGGCAGGAAATAAAGGATGAGATTTTCTTTTTCCAACCTTCCAACAACCCCAAATGCTGCCTGGTCTGAGGCCATAAGGAAGGTGACCTCATCCTCCATTCTCAGGCCACAACTTTATAGGCCCATTTTAGGAAAAAACAACCTGAGCATAATTCTGGTTCTCTGATGGGGAGACAGTCTGTAGCCTTAGAGTGGAAAGTTGTACTGATGAGGGCCTCTCCCCAGAAAATATGCAAATCTCTGCACTAAAGGACTCAGGAAGAGGTGTTTATGGCTGTGGGAGACACTCTCCCCTTACCTCCATTTTTAGCAAATGTTCTTCTGAATTCTAGGTAAGGTATTACCCCTTCTCGTCTCGGGTAAGTGAATACCCAGTGATTCCACTCTTAGATCTGTGGTTTCTACACTGTGCCAGGGAATGCACAATGCAGTTTCCACACCAAAGCCCAGACCACCCTTGACCTCTTAGATCCGGGGACCTCTTGCTTATAACCATGAAAGAGTCTGAGACTCTGTCTCCTGTGAATTTCAGCCCAAAGCAGGGGCTGAAAGCCAGAACACAAGAGGCACACATCATTGCAAATCAGTGCTAATGGTTGACATAAATATTTACACTGTACTCTCTTGCTACTACATGAAACACGCATTGTGTGGCAGGCCCTTTATCCACATTATTCATTTTATCCTCACCATAACCCATGAAGTAGGCTGCATGGTCCACCCCAGTGACAGAAACAGACCCAACTTAAGCCACACCCCCAGGGTCATGCAACAAATAAGGGCTGAATTTAGGAATTAAGCCCAGATCTGATCCCCAAGTCGAAGGTCTCTCAAACACTGGTTGCGTTGGAAAGGCAGTGAGGGAGAAGTAATATGGACTGATGGATGGGTAGATGGATAAATATATCATAAATACACAAAGACACATTTAATAATAGAGTCTATTATACAAGCTAGGTGGTTGTTATATGGGTATTCAGTGAGTGATTCTTGCTATTTTGGATGTCTGAAAAAGTTTGAAATAAAGCTTTGGAGTGAGAAAGAAAAGCAGTGAGGGAATCAAAGCCATGCCAATTAAACATTCTTTCAAGGATGTGTCTCATGCTTCTCTAATTATGTGTTTTGGAATTTTAAATTTAGTTTGACAAATATGTATTGAAGCTCTATTATGTACCAAGCCCCAAAATACCTGGCAGCTTAAAATGCTACACGAACGGCAGGTGCCGTGAGGACACAAGACGGAACCCTCCTGGGTTCACACTCAGCAGCTGACACTGACCCAGTCTGCCACCCGAGGCCAACTTCGATAAAGGGCCATAATCAACGTGTAAAGTGCCAAAGGAACACAAGGATGGAAAGGTGGCTGGGAACAAATGACATCTGAATTGGACCTTGGGAGAACACGGAAGAAGTCAAAAGATCTGAACAGTGTTTACTCAAAACACTTCTGTCTCCAAACATATGGGTTTTTTTTCCCTCCACACCAACAATTCTCTGATACCACCTGGATGTCCCACAATGCAGTTCACTTCTTTTTTTTTTAAAGTTCATTTACTTATTTTGAGGGGGTGGGGGGGGCAGAGAATCCCAAGCAGGCTCCATGCTGTTAGCATAGAGCATGACACAGGACTCCATCCCACAAACCGTGAGGTCATGACCTTAAAATCAAGAGTCAACACTTAACCGACTGAGTCACCCAGGCGCCCCTGAATTCACTTCTGACACTGTGTGGACTTATCCAGAGCCCACAGGTTAAGGGCTCAATCTCACAAGACTGCCCTCACTTCAGAGGCCGATGGAAGGTTGTGGGGTCTTTGTTACCACGCCAGTGGCACTTGTGAGCACTGGGGATTCTTTCTAACGCCTGCACGCTGGGCTGGCGCATTCGATTCCCACAGGTTCCTTGGACACCTGTACCTTGGACGCCACTTTGCCATTTCTGTTCTGGGAGTTGGCAGTCTCCTTGAGCCCTACAGGAAAGGGAAGGCGACCCAAGGCCTCTGGGGTTTCTGTACCTACTGCTTTTCCTCCCCGCACAAAGCCTCTTTCCAGGGGAAAGAGGGGCTCCCAACCTCCAGGAGCTTTCTCTGTCGCTCCTCTTCCCCACCACTTTCTTTCCTTCCCCCTCACCTCCCTACCAACAACTAGGAGCTCCCGCCTCACCTGCATCGAGATGTCTCCCCACCTCCCTGGCTGCACACCTGCAAACCTTCACGTTCTACCAGAGGCCAGCTTTGCTCCAACTCATCTCAACTACTAAGTGCCCTTAGGGTCTTAGCTTTTGAAAATCATAAGAGTCCCCCCCGCCCATTCTTTGGTGAAACTCTGTTTTTCCCCATACAGTAAATGATGCCTATATAGGACCTGCGGGTGCAGTGGGGGAGGGGAGGAGGCAGAAGCAACAGCAACTGCCAGAGAGGGAGCATCAGTGAAGATCTTAAAAATGTCATTCCATCAGTGTTCTTACCGCCGCCTTTAAATTTGGCTCATCCCTTGAGCAAAGAAGGAAAGGCTCACTCCACACCCTCCTTCCTGCTCTTGTGTCTCAGGAGAATTTCACTTCCACGTGACCTGCTCTAGACTAGAGGTTGAATCCCAAGGTGACTTGAATTCCTAAAGAAGCTGAGCCTCACACCTTGAGAGCTGCCTCGGTCTTAGTTACTGCTGACTCTCCAGAGGTCTTCTCAAGAAATGCAGAAGAAGCCCAAAGCTGCTAATCACCGAAGCATAAAACAGTTTAGAAATATAATGATTTATTTATGTTCAGTGTATGGCTGGTGTGCCCGTGTGTTCTTTAGACAATTATAACACAAGATCCTTAATGTGGGGCCATGTACTTCCCGAGTTCCCTGTACCAGTAATCACCAAGGGGATTCACTCTTTCCCATACTGCTACCTGTCCACGTGTGGCTTGTCTCTTGCCCATTTGCAGAAATTTCTCCTTTGATCCCTGTGGCATGCCTTTGGCTAGATCCTTTCTTTGGTTTTAGTTCTCTCTCTGGTTCATGTGACAGTCTTGTGTGTCAACCATGAGGTCCAAAGGAGAAATAACTTGTCAGTTAAAAAAAAAAAAAGCCAAAAATGCAGATGTTTGAAGAAAATATTAACTGGATTCTTTTCTCCAACAACTACTCACCCCAAATGAGGACTCTATATTAAGAAGGCTCCTGGTTTAGGGGCGCCTGGGTGGCTCAGTTGATTGAACGTCCAACTTCGGCTCAGGTCATGATCTCGCTGTTTGTGGGTTGGAGCCCTGCGTTGGGCTCTGTGCTGACAGCTCAGAGCCTGGAGTCTGCTTCGGATTCTCTGTCTCCCTCTCTCTCTCTCTGCCCCTCCACTGCTTATGCTCTGTCTCTGTCTCAAAAATAAAAATAAAAACATTAACATATAATAATAAAAAAATAAAAAGCCTCCTGGTTTGAAGTCGATAAATACCCATAAGGCCTATCTCCTATTATACACCCATATAGGTAGGAGCCAGAGATGTCTCTCCCCGTTTAGCAGAAAGAAACTTTCCTGATCACAAATTAAAACTCTCCCTTTTGGCTGTACATTTATCAGCAGACTTGCTCACAATGGTCTTGTTAATGATGACTGGGAACAATAAATCATTTCCTCCTACTACAAAGTCTGCTCAAATTAGTTCAAAATGGCAGACCTCCTGTTGAAATGAACCTTCCCTGAGTCAATGATGTTTCTTGGAAAAAAGTATAAGAGGAAGGTTTGCAGTGGGGTGGGACCCACATTTCTAGGATTTAAAGGGGAATATTTAGCAGCATGTGGCTTCATCACCTTACATGTTTTTTTAATGTTTATTTATTTTTGAGAGACAGAGACAGAGCATGAGTCAGGGAGAGGCAGAGAGAGAGGGAGACACAGAATCTGAAGCAGGTTCCAGGCTCTGAGCTGTCAGCACAGAGCCCAATGCGGGACTCGAACTCACAAACTGCGAGATCATGACCTGAGCCAAAGTCAGACGCTGAACAAACTGACCCAGGAACCCCTATATATGTTCTTTTTGAAATTTTTTTTAAATGTTCATTTATTTTTGAGACAGAGCAAGTGGGGGAGGGGTAGAGAGAGAGGGAGATAGAGAATCCAAAGCAAGCTCCATATGGTCAGCACAGAGCCTGATGTGGGGCTTGAACTCACAAACCGTGAGATAATGACCCAAGTTGAAATTAAGAGTTGGATGCTTAACCGACTAAACCACACAGGCACCCCTATGTTCTTAAACAATATCCAGAAGAAATATTGACCCAAAATGTATTGAATTCTTGTTTATTTTCACCCCAAGAGTTGAATACTGATTATGCCTTTGAGCTTTTATTATTCAATGAAAATAATACAAATACAAAGAGTATACCTGTGCTCAACACCATACCTTCTCTATTCTTCCTTTCCCTCAGTGATAGAGGAAGCTTCCTTTTATTTCAAGAATACAAATTTAGATCATATGACCAACAAATTCTAACTTGACGTAAATAATACATTGATTGGGCTTTGCAGTTCTGACAACAATAAATCACCAAGAGCTCAAGCAGTGATCATTTTGAATTAGATCCAGAAATCTATCTATTTAACTTGGTAGTCTTCTCCACTGCCTTCTTGGTACTGGACAAAATGCCCAAGAAATTTCCCTCGCAACATCCTCCTCCACGAATAATGCAGATACTTGCAAAAAGTATCCCTCACCTAAAAAGACATTTTGGGAAGCACATGAAGTATTTTAAACTCAAGGCAACATTCAGACCTGTTAAGCATTTTCCAACTCCTCTGAAGACTTCAATAAAGCAAGAAGAATCCATATGCCTCACTCCGTCAGCCTGACTTAAAGGAGTATGAGGCAAGAATCATCCACATGCAGAGTTAAACAATGCGATTTTCCAAGTATACACCTGCTGTGAGAATCAGTAACTTCTTCTCAAACCAGCAAATTGGTTTCAAGTATTTGGTTCACTGGTTCCATCCAACAACCACGGATAAGAGGCCACCTCCGGAGTGAAAGAGAAGGGGGTGATGAATCCTGGCAAAATGTGTTCTCATCAGAATTCCTATGCTTTTTACTGCACGGATGGTATTTGCAAAACTCTTTGGAAAGAACACTGGGTTTAATTTCAGGCAATCCTCTTTGCTGGAATTTTCACAAAAAGCTTTTGCGGAGTGTTCTATGATCTCATTTCAGGAAAACAACTCGTGCTATGGAGCTCTTTCTATAATGTGGTATTTTCTGGATTTTAGATTTTTCTTAACGTTGCAGCCAGATTATTCTTTCAAAAATAAAAGTGATAGTCTCTAGAAAGGTGTATCCGAAGTAACTGGCCCTTCTCCTGAGCCATGCGCTCTGGGAATATTTGTCAGAAAACCTGGTTCTTGAATTAAGAGAATATCTGTGTCCCTTACTCTCAGGCAAGAAGTCTGTGTTTTCTCTTTTCTCCCTTCCTGCCTTGTCATTCCCCAAGCACCATGCACCTTCCTCTTCAGCCAACAATATCTAGTATCACTTCCACAAACTGACTTCACTCTCCTGCTCTCTGAGGGCTTCTGGGCCAATCCCTGCACCTTCGGAAACGCCTTCCCTTTTCTTCCTCTTAGGATAAAATGCTCATGTGGAAACTCGAGCCCAAAGTACAACTACTTCTGTGGTCAAGAGCAAAGAAAGGTTTTTGTCAAGCAGGGTCTTCTGCTTAAGAGGACACACTTTCAAAGGGGACATACACAAGAGGAAAGGGGACCTATCCTAGCCAGTCCTTCCAACCGGTTATGAGCAACTTAATCCCGTGGATGGTCCCCAGACCTGCCCTCCATTCCCATCTGCCTATCCCACACTTACCACTAAAATGGCCGACCTTAGAACATGTCTCTCAGAACATCTTGCCTCCACTAGTAACTGAAGTCCTCTTTCCTTCATATTGCCTGTGTCCCTCTCAAGACACACAGAAGCTTAGGAGATTTCAGGACCTAAAACTACTGTTTTAGAGACACTATGGGTTAACCAGGCCTTTATGGGCTGGCCTACGAGTCCTACTAACATGAATTATATTTTAGGTACTGATAACCTTATGCTCCTACTTGTAAAGGGAGCTTAGAGTTAATAATATTGTTCATCACTAGCCCAGTATCTAAGAGAAACTGAGTTACAAACAACTGAATTATGGAAAACAAGTCTTTGGAAAAAAAATGAGAAAATTGGACTGTTTTGGGGTTTGCTTGCTTTTTCTTTCTTTTCCTCTTTCACATATGTATTCATTCATTAAATATTCATCGATCACCCTCTCAGGGGCCAGGATCAAAGCAGAGACTCCCTGCCCTTGTGGGGCTTACAGCCTACAACAGAGACACAACAAAACAAGGAGAAAAAAGGAAAAGAGAAACCATATCTAGGGCATGTGGTAGAATGGATGGGCACACAGTGCTCTGCTCGGAGTAACAGGTCTAGTCAGAGAAGCCAAGGAAGGCAGAAAGGAAGGTTCCAGTAGAGAGGACAATGTGTGCAAAGGCCCCATAGCCGAAGAAGACTGGTGGGGCCAGGGAATAAATGGAAGCCCACGAGGAACACAGACAGGGAGGGGAGTGGGGGCCATATGAGGCTGGTAGCTGGACAGCCGGGGTCCCTTACAGGGCTTTGTGGGGCAGAGCAAAAGAAAGCCTCTCCAAGTCTTACCTCGAGGAGGTGACACATCAATTGGGCATGTTTAGCAGGCTACTCTAGTCACAGTGTGGAGAGACAATGGTGCCAAGACTGGCTTCTGGCAGTCCACTTACAGAAGGTCATGGCATGAGTCCTTATGAGAAATAATGGCCACTCAGAGTGGACAGAGACAGACCAAGAGACCACTAAGTGGGAAAAGAGACAGGATTTGGCAGTGGGTTGGATAGGAGGGCTGAAGTTTGGGAAGCACAGAGGAATGACTCTTGGGTTTCTTGTGTATCAATTTGGGCTTTGGCTGTATCATTGACTACTATCTATAATTTTAGGCACTTTCTGTTTTTCTCACCTCATGTTTTTCACCTTGAAGGAAAAATTTCCTGCTACTTCAAAACTAAAAATGCACGGAAGCCCCTCAGCATTATCCTACCTATCCCCTCAAATCTGTTTTTAATATAGACAATTCCCAAATGATTTCTGTTTATAGTTTTTAATTTTTTTCCATGTTTATTTTTGAGACAAAGACACACACACACAGAGTGTGAGTGGGGGAGGGACAGAGAGACAGGAAGACACAGCATCCGAAGCAGGTTCCAGGCTCCAAGCCGTCAGCACAGAGCCCGATGCGGGGCTCAAACTCATGGACCGTGAGAGCATGACATGAGCCGAAGTCAGACACCTAACCGACTGAGCCACCCAGGCGCCCCTCTGTTAATAGTTTTTAAACTAAATTTGGTCTCTTCCCTTTATCTGGTTTCTCTACATGATGCGGTTTCCTTCAGTGAAATGGGAAATCTGAAATTTTGATATAGTGGTGGAGGATCTTTAGTCACAAATAATTCAATCCAACTCGGACCAACTATAACACAAAAATAAATTTACTAAGAAGAACACAATCGCGTCTCAAGGCATCGAATAGAACTGCAACCAAGACTCAGAGGCAAACTGAACCTGCCCAGAATTTCTCTCCATATTGTCTGCTCTTCTCTACACAGTGGCTTCAGACTTCGAGCATGTAACTTGAGCTTTCTCCAACCTTCAATCCGTACGACCGCTCTGCGCCAGTCCCCATATTTACATGCTCTGGGTTTTGCCACAGAGACTGACCCTCAGTCCCTCACTGTCTCAATTCCAAATCTCCAGGATGGGAATGGAGCCAGCGATGGTCAGGTGTTTGACCCTGGCCAATGAACTATGGCTGGGGGTGGGTGGGTGCAGGAATTCGGAGAAGAAACAGCCAATGCCAATTCTGAGTTCACAGAGAAGGGAGAATTGTTACAGACTTGGCAGACACCCCATATAGAGGAGGAGAGAAACAATAGCTCCTTTACTTCAATAAACACGTATTGAGCGCCAACCATGTTCCATGATCAGTCCAGGCCTGTGGATACAAAAATAAGTGCAGCAAATTCCTTCTTTAAGCAGCGTAACACCCAGCACTACCTGTGAACACCTTGGCCTCTACTTATATGTGGTCACTTACCTACAGCACATGCCTGAAAACTCACAGCGTACTACAGAGAACCAACACGTATGGCATTCATACCGTGCAACCAACACTTAGCTCTCCTCTT